AAATCTGAACCTCTACATACAGTATATGGACTGTGGAGACATTGCATATGCAAAGGAACTAGCTGAGACAAAAAAACAAAACAAACATCAAACTAAATAAATCCTCGTCACAGTGTGTGAGTATATTTAAGCACTGAGGTGCTGATTTGTATATAAAAAGTCCAGACTGATCTAATCTTAATTGAGATGGAGTAAAACAAAATGTCTGGCTGTTTCCATCATTGATATCTACAGCTTGATCTGCTTCCACATTAGTTTGTAATTTAATCTGGAAAACTGCCTCCATTTGCTTTATCAAAACATTGACAGGCTTCCTACAGTCAACAGACTTTTCACACTCGCTTTGAACTGTCCCTGTTTAATGATGTGCCAGGAAGCAAATTTCTTTTAACAGGATTTATTTTTTTTTAAGTTTCATTTTTATTGAACACTTCTGATGAACATTTCTACAGAACATTTGTTGAGGATTTAAGCAAAAATCAATTTTGTCATTCCAGGGTGGTTTGATTTGGTTCGGCTTTGCTTAAGACAAGGATACAAGCTTCGGTTTAACTTTCTAAAAGCAAACAGAGCTGTACTAAATGCCTCTATTCATCTTGTACTGGTGTACTTTTCCTCCTCATTCTTTTGTCAAAGGGAACCGAATTAGATTGTTGATTGGAGGTTCCCTTCTCAGTTACACTAAACACTCTCACAGGCAACACTCCTCGTCATATCCTCAACATACCTAGAATCAATGGAAGCTACCACTTCCTGAGAGGATACTGAGCACAGTGACTCATTTACTGAATCGATGCCCAAATGTATGGGCTTTTTTTTTTTTTTTTGCTGTACATTCCAAAAAGGGCTCTAGCTTTGGCTAAGGATCTAATAAATCAGACAGCAGGCTGATATCCTTTGAACTAATGAATGATCATTTGAACGACTCACTCACTTGTTGTACACTCGCCTGAAGCAGGTCTCCTAGTCTCTCCACTAGCTCTGTAAATGTGGGCCTCTGCTGTGCTTCTCCATGCCAGCAGTCCAACATGGTCTGATATCTACAGGGACCACACACACACACGTACAATATTATTATTATTATTATTATTATTATTATTATTATTATTATTATTATTAATAATAACAATAATAATAATAACAGTAATAATAATAATAATAACAAATGATCTAAGAAATATGCTTAGAAGCAAACTAATTACATTTAGTTCATTAAATATCCTGACACTATGTATACAGTCTATATATACACAGCTATTCAAGTTGTCAACACATTAGTGTGGAGGAGTACATCAGAAACATAGACACACAGTGTTCTGTGCACTCCAGCCATAAATCTCTTTCCTCTTGTGGCCACTAAGACGATCTTGAGTTACCACCTCCCCAACACTACAGGCTATCTGACCTGACCTCTCCGTTTCTGCAAGCTCATTTGCCTTCGTCCTATTATAGCCTGTCATTAATAATTTCTGGTGTCACTTGAGCAGTTAATTCTGCTGCTTTCAGCACAAGCATTAGAGGTGAGAGGTGCCTTCTTTGCATTTAAAGAGCTGTCAGCACCTCTCTCCAGGTGGTACTTCTCAGCTACATATATCAGAATAACGGTGCTACTGGGTTATAAAGGAATTAAGGAAGGAGATTCTGAAGCAGAGCTGAGAGTGGGAACAGGGAATGATTGTGACCAATCCTGTTTTAATTGTGGTTCTGCAGTAGAATGTTGTTTAAGTACAATCCAGTCTCTATTATCTTAAGCGTTCTGCTCTATTATCTTAAGCGTTAAGCGTTCTGATTAAGGCTAATCTGATGTTAGGACTAACTTTTATATGAGCAGAATTTCCTCTGTGTTACTCTGCCCTGACCTACTATATTCATTTTGCTTTGTTGTTGTTGTTGTTTTGTTGTTGTTATTGTTGTTGTTTGGAACAAAGTAACACAAATTCCTCAACTGGATCGTTGGGGTGATTAACTAATTTCTGCTCTAGGTGGAGATTCATGAGTAACAGAAACTTGTAATAGCAGTTGGTTATTCCTCTTCGATCAACATGTTGTGTGTTTTATAATGGAGACAAATAAGAAATTTCATCACAGATGGTTTAATAAAGCCTGTCATTTTCTGGCGGATATAAATAATAGATTCTAGATATGTTAGGTCTGTTTTCGTCTTGCAGTTTTTAAATCTGTCTGGTGGATTGACCTCTGAATTCTTGACAGTGAATCAGGCTGAATAAGGTCACATTCTTGATCAGTCTATGGAGAAAATATTTTTATTTTCTATTATTACACACATTATGAGGAAGTTTAGACAAGGGTCAGAGTCTGGGTCATGACTGACGCCTACGTGTGAGATCAATATCAGACATGTTGGAGCACTCTCTTTTCTAACAGAAGACAGATGTCATATCCCAGAACAGCCAAGACTCAGTTTCCCAAGAAGCAACATCTACTCCCAACATGGTTGCCAAGGACTACACTTCCCACACACACATGCACTCACACTCCCCGGAACACACACCTGCAGCCAATAACCCTGCCTCTCACCACAGTCTTTTACGAGACTTCGGATTCAGTGACACTTTGCGAAGTAAACGTTCAGCACTAGTTCTCGGTCGTTCTCCAAGCGTTACCTATTGTGATTATTCTATAAGTGACTTTGACCCTTGATTACATCCTCGACCACGATTCCTGTCTTGTCCCGTTTGTTTCTGGATTACAAACTTTGTTTACTCCTCTGGATATTTACTGCCTGAACCTGACGCCCACTTCTGCTTCTGTATTCCCAACGGTACGTGACAACAGAGATGATGCTGCATACTATATCAAACCTTTTCTGCCAACTCCATTAACAAGTTCTTTGAGGTCACATGAAACGCCTTTGTCCTTTATGGTTTAAGAGAGTTGGCACCAGCTTGACAAAATTTACGACAACGAGGGTACTTCATCCCTGAAGCCTGATGTCTGGACCACATTTTGCAAGCCATCTTAAATTATTAGCAGTCTACCGTGACTTCTTATAAGTGTATTTGTCTTGACTAGTTTAACCTTTTGAAATCAATAAAAATGAGGAATTTGACACAATTGAATTGCTAGCAGCTTGCACAGGCTCATGTTTCAGAAAGGGGTATTTTAGCGTAGCAGCATTCTGATTAGGAACAGGCAATCACACTCTCCAGGCTGAACTTTATCCTGAAGCCCCTGAGCGCAGCCACTAAACTAGGTGCAAAAGAGTCACAGTTCTCAGCGAAAGGCTTGGCCAATCTGAACTTTCCTATTTTGGGATGATGCAAGATTGATGTAAAAAAAAAAAAAAAAAAAAAGGCGAGTCAACCTCCTAGTCTCACCAAGTTCACATAAAGTTCCTAAAAAACTGTTCGACAGGATTCCAGTGAAGGAGCATCTAAAAAAAACTGTTCTGTCTTTAAATGCATTTTTATATATTCTAACAGTTGAATTATGTTATAAAAGGGACATTTCAGTGTCACTCTTACATTTCAGAGGAAGCATATTCAGGTGCTCGCATTCTGGTGCCTTCTTTCAAGTGGCAGCAGAATTCCTCATCAATTTGTACACCGGGATAAGGAGAGGCACCTGTGGAGAAGAAAGAGAATGGTGACCGTTATTAAGCTAGCTCCTGATGCGAATCTCTGACCACTTCAAAGAGATTAAGTCTCAGTGTTTAAGTCTAGGCTTAAAACGTATCTGTTTACTCAAGCCTACCCTGACTAGATTCTATTTTACTACTTCACAGTCATAATAATCTTTTTTCTCCCTCTCTCTTTTTGCCGAGCCACACACGAATTTATGGAGATACTAGAGATCCAGATCATTTCAGCCTCTGGATGGAGCTCAAATCTCGAATCTTCTCTACTGGGACTACGGCTGCTCCTAAGACCATACAGACTTCATATAAATCCATAATGAACTTTTTCACACTATCTGTTGTTCCCCAGATGAGGATGGGTTCCCTTCTGAGTCAGGTTCCTCTCAAGGTTTCTTCCTTTAAACATCTTAGGGAGTTTTTCCTTGCCACCGTCCCCACTCAGTGACTTGCTCATTTGGGATAAATTCACACCTTTAATATCTGTATACCGTGTTGATATTTCTGTAAAGCTGCTTTGAGACAATGTCTGTTGTAAAAATAAAATTGAATTGAATTGAATTACGAAAAAGTCTTTTCTTTATAAGCAATTTTTTATTTTGAGGCAATTTTGCAGAATGCATTTAGATAAGTGAAGAGAGCTGAAAAAGAAATGGTGGGACTTTCCAGTATGCTTACGAGGAAAACAGACAAACACTTGGTTTATAAAAATATAATTTAGGCATCTAGTATAAATACATTCAGACAAAACCTGCATAAATTAGTAACCATACAAGAGTTGGGGCTGCAGCTGAATCCTAAAAATGGCAGTGCTTTTAGAACAATATTTATCTGTACTTGCTTGGAATATTTCACATAATATCCAATAACAATAAATGGCACAGAAAAAGGTTCATCCTAGAGCGTACTATGATTAATTCAGTCTAACACACAATGACCCATCACTAATAGTCACAAACTACATCCAAACAGCAAAGGCTAGAAATCCACCACACAAAGATAAAACCACAACCCAAGTGGATTTGGGTCTAATGCAAACATTTGTTCTTTAAACATTATTAGGTTCCCAAACAATGCTTCAGCTGGTCTTGTGAAGATGCACAAAAATTCAAAACAAACCAGATGTGCCGTCCTTGGTGAGTTCATTTTTCATCCATCCATCCATTTTCTATAACGCTTTGCCTACATGGTCGCGAGGAACCTGGCGCCTATCCCAGGGAACATGGGGCACAAGGCGGGGTACACCCTGGATGGGGTGCCAATTCATCACAGGGCACAATCACATACCACGGACACTTTGGACAAACCAATCAGCCCGTGCATGTCTTAGCACTTGGGGAGGAAACCAGAGTACCCGGAGGAAACCCTCGCAGCACGGGGAGAACATGCAAACTCCGCACACAGAGGGCCATGGCGGGAATCGAACCCCCAGCCCTTGAGGTGTGAGGTAAACGTGCAGACCATTACACCACTGTGCGCCCCGGTGAGTTCATTTACATTTTTTAATTAATCATGTTATTTAATACGTTTTTACTTTGTGTATGTGCTATAGGTTGTTAAGGCTTGTTTTGTAAGTGTTTGCACAACTCCTTTGCATAGGCAAGAGAAGCTTTTGCCCCTTAAAAAAAAAAAAAAAAAAAAAAAATATATATATATACATATATATATATTCTTAAAGGTGATTTCACAGTCAGTGCAAACATTTAGAGTGAACATTTAGTTAGTAATATGGTTTGCTTTTGCAGCTGGGGAGAATATTTTGGATCAATTGTGAGGTATTCTTATTTTTTATTACCTAAACTCAGCTGAAACTTGCTTATGTGGAATGAAAATCTTTATTTATACCTGACAGGACAATTACTTTTTTTTTTTTTTTTTAATACAAAAGCAATCATTTTCGAGTGGTAGAGAGTTACTGTCCAACAGTTCTGGATAGCTCTGGATAACTCATGGTTTCCACTACGCGTCCTTGACCAAGGACACGAGGAAACGAAACACATGGTGAAATACTTTTCTCTTTGAAAGTGAAAGATCTGCTGTGTGTATACAATGAACACTGTATTGGCAACATTTCCAAATAAAATAGCAGCAAAATCAAATCCAACAAGTGAAGTCACTATTCATTTGTTTTCTTCTAAGAAAATGAATCGCTGTAAACAACCATGTTCTTTGAACTCCACTGTGAATTTGATGTGCATGCAACAGTTTTGGTTGCTGCATAGTCCAGTAACACTACACTATTAACTCAAGATGTCCTGTTATAAGCCATGCAAGAAAACACAATAAGAGTGTAGATTAAGTTAGCACCGCTTACAGAAAAGATACACATTTTTCTCATGGTCATTTGTCACATTTAATCACATGATGCAATGTGTGTTATTCAATTCACATGGGCATTTTACAGTTAGTATGTATATGCTGGGTGGTTGTTAGTAAAGATGACTGTGACTTCCACCCACCAGGGGCAGGACTGATATTTACCCAGAGAGAAGATCTCCCACATTAGCACACCGAAGGACCAAACATCACTCTGTGTAGTATAGATCTTGTCAAATATGGCCTCTGGCGCCATCCACTTAAGAGGAAGTCTGGCCTGTGGAAATAGTGCAGATTAGCCCAAGTGTTCAGCCAGACCCCTAATTCACCTGTGTGAACTGTAATCATGCATGTTCAGCAAACAAATAGACTGTAAAACAGTGCAAATCTGCTTAAATACAAAATCAGCATGACGTCTGTGACCACACTCGACCACAAGCAAACATTCTCTGAACAGAATAATATTATCAAGGGCTAAAACATGACTGTGCGCATACCAGCAACTCTTGGCATTAGCAAAATCACTGTACTTGTTCCAGGCTGAAGCTGTTATTGTAGCTGTCCAACAAGTTAAGTGCTTTTTAATGATTTATACTGTATTAAAAAGGTGATCTGCACAATGTGTTCAAGGACATAGTCACAATGTAAAAGGGCACACTTACATCTCCTTTACGGACGTAGTCTGGGTCCTTATACACGTCTCTGGCTAGTCCAAAATCGCATATCTTAACAACGTTGTTTTCGGACAATAGGATGTTCCGTGCCGCCAAATCACGGTGAATACACTGGGAGAAAAAGAAGCCAAAGGTTTGACTTATATAATACGTTTCAAATACATACATGCCAAACTTGACGAGTGGAATCGTCTGGGTTAGAGAAGCCTATATTTCATGTTTTATCTACCATGTGGTGCATTGTCACTGGAAACACATGGAGGAAAGGTGTGATACTGTGAAAAAGCTGAGGTGATTGTGCAGAATGTGAGGAGTAACTACAGTTACATGAGGAGCTCCACAGTTCCCTCAAACAAAAACTAATCTCCGTATTACATTTGTGAATTTGCCGCGCGTGTTTTTGAGCATATCTGTGCATGTTTATGTATGTACGGTAAAGGGAACTGTATTGCAATTAAAAACAGAACTGAAACAAACTGTTACTGGGCACAAGAGAAAACTTCAAAAATAGAAATTAAGCACTGAACATCAGACACCAACCTGTTTGACTAGCAGGATTTGGAGTCATGAATTATTATTATTTAGTCAAGGACTTACTTTTCTTGAAGCTAAAAACTCCATGCCTTTGGCTACTTGAAAGCTGTAGCAGATTAAGTCCTCTAATGTCAACACTCTCTTATACAAGTCTTCAGACTCTGTGTGAAATAGTAAAAGAAAAAAATCAGTAACAAATAAATTAAAAAAAACATCCATTTCCATCCACTGTAGAATCATAAGACATGAAGTCTTCACAAGGCCTTCTCTATCCACTGATAATATGCAGAATATAAACATTTCTTACTAAGCTTGTATGTTTGTCTTGAACTTTGAGTTGTTTTCCTCAGATGCTTCCTTGTGTTGTAAATATAGCTAAAAGGTCTGGCACTTATTTTTAGAAGTTGTTTAATATAGCTTGTCAATGAACCTTGGGTGTGGTGTGGTGTTTTGTTTTGTTTGGTGGTTGGGGGTTGGGGGGCTGGGGCAGCAAGACCCTTCCTCTGTTCTACCTGGATAAACAGTTTATCAATACCCAAAATAACAGGCAATGTGCAGAATGCCAGGAATACATTAGCTTGCGTCTGAGACAGGAAATGAAACAAGCTAACTCCACAGACAGCGGGCGACGGTGGGTCATGATAAATATTAGTTGTATTTATGTATCCCAGAGGAAGCATCCTATCAAATTGAAATGGACAAAAACAACCAGAGGAGTCTTTGGAGCACGTAGGGTGGGGTGGAGGTGAGAGGGGTACGACTGTAGGAGGGGAAGGAAGACATTCAGCCACTACCTTCCTCTTCTTCCTCTGAGTCGCAGTAGCTCTTATCTTCAATGAAGCCTGAGCTGGCGGAGCTTCCCGTACTAGCCACACTCTCCAGTCGACGCTTGAGGAGCTCACTAAGTTCACACCCTGAACTTTGCAGCAGTGCTTTGCCATCCTGAGACTGATCAGAGAAATACACACTATTGGTCAAAAGTTTGGAGACACTTGACTGAAATGTTTCTCATGATCTTAAAAATCTTTTGCTCTGAAGGTGTATGATTAAATGTTTGAAATCGGTGTAATCGTGTCAACACATTAATTTCTTTCATTAGAAAAATAACATTTTATTTACAAAAAAATGTTGTTTTTTTTTAAAAATGGATGACTCAGAGTGAAATATTCCGAAAAGCATCCAATAACAGTCCCGCATCAGTGGGAACTTAATACTGTTTAAAAAAGCATCTCAGGGGGATTCCTCAAGAAATCGGTTGAGAAAACACCAAGAATACATTTCTGGAAATTCTAGTCAGAAAAGGGGGTCTACGTTGAAGATGCTAAAATACTCAATTATTTAGATTTATTTTGGGTTGTTTTTTATCACAATATAATTCCTATAGTTCCATTTGTGTTATTCCATAGTTTTTCATGACTTTATTATTATTCTAAAATGTGGGGAAAAAATACAAATAAAGAATGTGTGTCTAAACTTTTGACCGGTAGTGTACATCAGTAAGCATAAAAGACACAGTGTTATTCATTCATCAAAGCACATCTTATACTTACTTTATAAACCACAAAGTCTCCTCTCTTGCCCCTCAAATAATTAGAAAGGTTGCCATACTTGCAGTACTCCACAATGATCATCAGTGGACCTGAAACAAGCAGAGAACAGTACATAATGGAGATGTTTTAAGCTCACACTAAGAAACAGTCCAAATTAGGGCCTGAGCACGAGTCCCTACATTCTCACCTCCTTGCTTAGTGCAGGCTCCCAGTAGATTGACAACATTGAGATGGTGGCCAATATGAATCAGTATCTTCAGTTCAGACATAAGAGCTCTGCATTCACTGTTTGTAGCTCCTCCTATTACACATGATACAAATGTATACAGGAGAAGAAGGAAAATGGATTATAAGTGAAATCTTACTTGGCCAATAAACATCTTTCTAATTTTGAGAATAATAAAAAATGACAAATTTTCCCTTTGCATCTACCTTATCAGATTTGTTGTAAGAATAATATGTAAACACAAAGATAATATGAGCAAGATGTTTCACAAAATGATTAGATTCACTGTTGTGGAAATACTAACATTGTATTTCAAAATACATAGGAATTTTTAGAACGTGTTCTGCTTTTCATTTGAAACTGACCTAGGGTGCATAGCACATGATCCGACAGCTTCTCTCTCCCAATGATTAATGCTTAAGGAGGATTGATAATGTGACACCAGAGGGATTATGCATTTAGAGTGATTTATCATCACACAACTCCACGGGAGAAGCCTTCATTGCTTTTCAAAGCAGCTGATATTCTCCACAAACTGTTGTCAGTGTAGTAAAAGAAGGCAGGATATTTTCATCAAGACAGCCTCAAGTGCTGCAGTCCCAATTAACATTATAAATATTTGTTTGATCTTCATTCTTTATGTAAAACTTTAGTGATTTATTTACAAAATTGTATGTCAAGCCAGTAATGCTGAAGGTGTGGTCTGGTTGTGTGCTTCCACTGGGTTGAGTACACGCAAGATTTATTTATTTTTTGTTCCAACAAAGCAATAAAGATGCGTTCATAAATCCAAAAAGGGGATCTGCTTGAAGTTATTTAATGAAAACGTACATGAATAGTTGCACATACATCACAATTAGACCTGACATTTTTTAGCCTGTGTCAAAGTTTCATATCTGCACACTATCATACTTAACAGCTGGGTCCTCAGATGCAAACCCTCCATTCAAACCCTCCAACATAGCTGCTAATTATCTCTGCATCTATATTGTGATGTGAAAGGTTTTGTGAAAGAGCAAACTCATCCAGCTGTGAAAGGTTACTGTTTTGAACGTAAATCTAATTCAAAGAATAAATATCTGGAGAAATGGTTGCTCTCATTGTGGTACACAAATTCACTAGAAAGAGATTAGAAGATAGTGCAAGAGTTCAAACAAAATCTGATCTGGGCATCTGAT